AAATCAGATACAAACGCGAGCACAATGCAAGAAGCAGTCGTCAATTGTTCAAGGCATGCACAGATCCTTTCCGTCGGGGGGAGTGTTGTGAGATACTACTCACTTGTGAGTAGTCGGTAACTTTCAATGATTAAAAATAGAACAAGACCATCCAGGACCAAGTAATATATTTGGGAAGAATAAACACTGCCTGCTATACCCATTGCCCCATGTGTCGCGATGTGCTGCGAAGGCATGTTTCTGATGAGCTTTTCGTGTTATGCATCCAAAATTAGTGACCCTCCATCTGTATTCTGCAATAAAGGACTCTCCTCGACCAGCACCACCTTTTCGGAATATAACACTAGTAGTCTTTTCGTAAGATGTATACGTGCTTCCTGTTCATAGACAGACATTAATCAGTTATTAAAAACGGAACCGTCGATCCTTAAGCGCAGCGCGAAATGATGCGGTACCGCGCCAGACGACGATATTGCGCGTCATCTAATTCGGATAATAGGCCGCGTTTTAAATTGTTGATTCCAGAGAACACTGAAATCGCTTCTATACCACCATTCCAGGATTAAATCCGATTGTTTTTGACACAATATTATTTCTTTCTGTATCAGTTTTCATGAGTCTGTTGCCTTATTTTTAAAATACAAGCACTCTTTTAATCAATTTTTAGGTGTTCATCACTTCACACTGGGACAGCGCGCAAACATTACACGAGCAACTGGTCCATTTTATGTGGCCAGCATGGATCCTTTAAGTCAAACGATATATGTGGTATGTTAATTGATGATGCTCTTTTTGTTGTTCTGCTCCTGTCGAAACCTGAATAACACGTTGCTTTTTGACAAGAATTATGGTTGGCTACGACGGAGCTTGACAAACAAGGTTATGTCTTTAAACAGTATGTGTTTCGTTTAGCCCATGCGATTGTTCAGAGGCACCAAGCACTCTTGATGGTCTTTGGTGTGGGTTTGAAGTCCCAACCCAGTTGTTCGTGGTTCGAGCCCTGACAGGGGCACAAAATGTACGCACTGCTGATGAGTCCCAAACAGCTGTCCAGTGCTCTTTGTCGGTCATCATAAACGTTTCCATCACATCTGAATAAGGTTATCTCGTCTTCAGCGTGTGAGTTTTTGTCTTATATCGTCTAACAAAATCTGTCCTTTCGGTTGCTTTTCTTTTTCTTACGACAGCTATTAATTGTACTCCTCTGTTTATCACTCTCACTAAGCGTACTCTTTCCATTCATCACGATTACAAATGCGTACACCAGTCTTCTTATCCGAACCCCGTTTGCATAAGATTTGCGATGGAACAATGACCAGGCAAAAAGGTTCCTTTGTATATCCACGCATACAATTTATTTGTTATTGGTCGTTTAGACCGTGCGTTAGACGTACACTTCCTCACCGTTCGGTGTCGACCAACATGTCACTTTCGCTTTGCCTATAACCGGTGATTTTTACATTCCGTGGTGTGATAGCATTTGTCTGGTGGAATAAAGACAGCGTGAACTATAAATCTCTTTCGATCTGATATATAAAAGTAAAGTTGAGGTGGTCTTGGGGCTCAGATCCTCCGAATGAATGAGACAAAGTGGTAATACGGATGAACTAATCTGACAGCAATGTTCTGTGGACAGTAGTGCCACCTTAGTATTGGGCGACTTAGCTCGACTCCGGCCCTGTTTAGGTTTAACGCCGCACTCCATCGCAGTCGTCGTTAATTCGCCACTCCAATTCTCATCGCTTTGGCGGTCGTTCATTTTAACTGGGGCAGTGTATCATCGTGCATACGAACTTTAGCCCATAATAATCGCACAGACTGGTGGTTCGCACTTCATAGCTAAAGGAGCACCTAACCTTGCCGGTTTAACTGCCAGTCACGCGGGTCAACAACAGTGTCTGGTTGGTCAATGGAGATCAACAAAACAGTCGCGTGTGTCTAGGTATTTGTGCAATGTGTAAACTATACAATTCGTCGCTACCGATCGGTTATCGTGGGCTGATAATAATCTAGATCAATTGACTTCCTGGGAACACCACTGAACATGTGACAGAGCTGTGATTGTAACCACCGATTACCGATCAAGCTAAAAGAATGGACCAAACCAAACGCCTCTCTTTGATCGTGTAGCTATACTTACTCACCTAGTGCAAAGCACACTGATCCATTACAGAGAGAGAGAATGTGCACGAGTAACCTATAGTTTGTGATCAAACTGCACTGTGAATCAAATCTGTCTCACCTAATACAGTTGTGTATATTGTTGTTCGAAATAGCCGGTTACAACTCGGTCTACATTCATCTTCATCCTGCGTTTGAAGTCCTATCTGGCAATCTGATCAGGTGTGTTTTGTTTCGAATTTCCCAAACAACACGCCCCGCGGTACGTAATCAAACGGGGTTTGGGGGGTTTCCGGTGGTGATAGCACCTCCAGTTCGTTAACATCCTGTGTTCCTAAACAACAATGCCTTTTCTGCCGTCCACATCAGTCACCCAACTCTCAATTGTGGCAGCGGCCACAACTCAGTAATCGCTTAGTAGGCAGGCTGAACCTAATGAGAGAAGATGGCTTCTGGGAGTACGGTCAATAGCAGCTTAACACATGCATATAAAATAGTGCGGGCAAACTGAGCGAGCAAAACCAACGGCTAGGAAGGTGGTTCGAATCCGAGTGTATCATTGTGAAATAACCTCGGTTGAGCAGTGTTTAGAGGTGCACCCTGGAACAAAAGCCGAACGATGTTGGAGATGTCACTAGTGCGAAATTCCCGTGATATTTTAAAAAGTCAGTGTGTTCTCTCGCAGGAGATATATGATGTAAATTAAAATATACTTGTGATGCAAAGACGCGTTTTATGCTCCTAGTCGTTCAGTTACTTGTGATTTAGTGCACTTTACTTGATACCCTCATGATTCTTCATGCGACTGTCGTTTGTCCTTCCCCGAACTTAGCGTACTTTGAAAGTCCCTCTGTTTTATAATTGGTGCAGGTTCGCGGCAAGCATCATCCCAGTCTTTTCATGCGCAAATGTTGGACTGGGCCCGCTGTTTGGATCAACTCGTTCAAGCCCGAACTCCCAACCGATCGGATACAATTTCAGTGGCAGAACAAATGGCGTCCAGTCGATAGTCGGATTCTGCCATTCAATACGGTTCAAGAGGCTGCAACTGTTGTGCATTCCTCCTCCACACTTGCGCCACCTAAATTGTCCGACGGGGAACACCTGTCAACTATGTTACCCGGAGAAACGTCTGAAGCGAAACGAAATATTGGGCCGTGTTTGGTGATCGAACTGGCTGAACCAATGCGCTGCGTTGCCCCGGGTCAGTGGGCTGCTCTCTACGATGGAAATTGTTGTATCGGTGGAGCTGTGATTTGCGGTTCGATCAGTTTGTGGGATGAAGGACAGCGCGAACCGTACACCGACTGGAAACTAACTAATTATGAGCTCCATTATTAGCTTACAGTCACGTGATACACGAAACTTGTACATAAATTTCTTTAGTAAAAATACGATTGCAAAATTGACCAACTGTTAGTTCTGCGAAACAATTATTTTTTTACTTCGACTCTCTCGGCACACAAGGCGAATGCAAAAGAAATCGTAGAAATGAGGCATGATCAGTCCAATGTGAGTAAATGCGTGATAAGTAATAAATCCCTTAGACCCAAGTACCCACTTAAATCAGAAATTAACCGTGATTGGTTGTCCCACTACTTACGCGATCGTGTGACGAATGACTCTTCCATAATAAGGGCAGGTAACTGTACGCATTTCCGGGGTGACGCGTGCTTGACATTTTCGCTATAGTTGCAAGGTCACATATGCCATGGTGCGGCTAGTGCCTATTTATCACTGTGCAACGAGTCCCGAAGTATGAGGCACTCTTAGGTCCAGTTTCCGACCGCCGATGTTGCACATGCGTCTGCAGTTGTCTACCTCCACTGATGAATCCTGATTCGTAACCGGTCGGCTAGAGACACTGAAGGATTTGAGAGCGAACGGATAGCAGTAGTGTTTGCGATCAACTCTGCGCGTCGACCGGTGGCGGTTCAGTTCATCTCTGTCTCTCTGCCATGTCCACGGCACGGTGCCTTATCAAGGGCATAGCAAAAAACACCAATTTTCCTGTAGCCTGTGGACAGCTGCTTTCATTCTCTCACAAACTATTAGGTTTTAGTCAAACTCGGTTAGACTGGAGAGGAGAACTCGTCGGTGGTTTTACACCTCAAACCTAACTCTCCATCGTTCGCGAAATCAGTAAATATGATCCGGAATCTTCGTCACTGACATGGTTATTGTCTATTTAAAGACGACGGTAAACTCAATTGGGGGGGGGGTACCGTCGAGAGAAGAAAAACCACCGAAATTAGGAATGCACCTGGAGTGATTAATTTACGTCTGTACATAATAACAGGGTGCATTAAAATAGGCTTGCTTGAATGTGTCCAGTCAGTAAATCTTTCTACTAGACACCCTTGTGTATGGAGTTGAATCCCACAGTCGCGAAGAGCTGCTGTTCAGTTTCAGATTTTACTATCATTACCGTGCACTTTCATGTGCCGGGTTTGGGCTGCCCGTTTGGATCGCAGAGTAGAATAACGATTGGAGTGTTGAGAGCAGAATCAAAGAGAATTGGCATGGATCATGGTTGCAAGCATAATGAGTAGATGTACGACCGGCAGTGTTTGCGACACTAATCATTTTTGGCACTGAGTGGTTCTCTAGCTTTTTAAAAATACAGCTAATTGTCTGGAGGGCGCTGTGATCAACTAAGTATTATCTGCGTCTCATCCGTCAATTGTAGCACATGGAAATTTCTTCCTGTTAATGCACACAGGCAACCACTGTTTTTACCGGACTAGCTGATTTCTTGTCTGGAGGGTATTGATTATCAGACATCATGTTCCGTGTATAGAAAAAGAGTTAAGCAGAGCCGCTTAGAGGACGATGCAGCATTCCGTACCAGCGCTCTCATCCAACTGGTAAAGTTTAAAGCATACCCAACCACCCGTGGGGCAGTTTTTGCTGCGCCTATTATTACTAACAAAGTGTATTAATAAATGTTTGATTTCGACACATCAAAACAGTCTCGCGATCTTGTTTTTACTTCTGAATGTTCAATTACGTATCATGAAGTCTGTGATTGAAATTGTACGACCAATCACAATACCGCCTGTATATTTCACCTGTCAATCACACCTTGGTAGTTCCGTTCTGTACCGGGTTGGACTGATATCCGTATCGGGAACTGTCAATTCTGTGTTATATGCATTACTCATCCGTGATACATAGACACCCACAATACGGATAAATCAGCTTGCTGGGATTCGCTTTCACCGAACATTTATCCCATGACAACACTGAATTACTGGAAAGCACATTCCACTGTCTGATGGACTGAGTTCTTACAGCCAGTTCCGGCGTCTGAGACTTTGCTTAGGTCTAATGGATTGCACCTCACTTCAGGCTAGCGCCGTCGAAAACCCAACAGTCATCGAGAATCGCCGTATTTACACAATAGTGGAGCGTAGGAAGTTAACAAATGCACTACAATGACTCTTGAAAAAACACGTCTTTTTACTCAGAAAAACATTTCGTGTCATTGAACACCTACCGATTTGTTTCAACTCACTAGAATGCAGTAGGTAGCTAAGAACAAATGAGTTCCGGAAGTATAGAGGATGGAGGGGGAGAGTTGGTCGAAATTAACCAAATGCGGAAAGGATCGAAAAAGGGTCTTTTACAATCATGCCGCATCCAAGTCGATTGGGCGGAATGAGGACAGAAGGGAGCCGCGAATCACATCATCTGTTGTCCAGAAAAATAGCCCTTGAACGTTTCAAATATGGTGATCATGATGGCCGAGGCATGGACGGTTTTCAGTAGGCGTGGGGTGAAGCCTGAAAAGGAACAACACAAAAAAAAGGAATCACTCGTCTCGATGGGTTAAGCGTAATGGTTAAAACAACACACAAGAACAGTTTAACTCACCTGCAAAAATTGCTTGAAGACCGTCAGAACTGTACAAACGGCACAAAGAAGCCCATGACGACTTTGGAGATTTTCGGCCTGTTAAAATCGAGACAAACACTGTTCAGTGCTGGCAGAAACAAAATTTAAAAGTTAAAAAAAACCATCGAGGACTCACAAATTATTGATCCCTTAGTATTTGTAAAGCGGTCGAATGTGCAATACTGTGACTTATCAGTTCGGGTGTTTTGGACGTAAAATGTGTTAACCGAATGGTAGTGTGGGTGAAGGGATTTTTCATAGCCGAAACACGCAATACGCTTAAAACTTAGTGCACTATATCTAGACCCTGAAAGTACACAATTTGTCTCACCATCAGCAGCACAGAATTGAGACCTCAAGGTTAAATTTGTTTCAATTACCATAAATAAACAGTTGCTGCTCCATAGATAGACTTATATTCCGCCGCGTACCTTCAGTTCGTGAAGCACATTGAACACAAATGACACATCATACCGCAGTGGCACCGCCGAAGATTTCTACCAAATCTGTAGAACATAACGGGAAAGTTGTTCCTTATGTGAGCTCAACTTAAAATCTACAGAAACACTAATCCTGTTTCCTTGCGCTTGTTTTCAATCATCATCAGTGCTGAGACATCAATCCTGCGACGGTTCGAGCCCGAGATAATGAGTTCCAAACGTCACTATTAGGCTACTCAGGGCCGACTACATGGCTGGTTTCATGTCAGCGATAAAAGATAAGGCGTTCAGATTTTATTTGTCACAAGATTGATGAGTACGGAATACTGACAACGTTTAACACTAGATGAGTGAGAAAATTTACACTTCTACACCAGCAAGGTAGTAGTAGCGGTGGTGCTCACGCGGTTTGCGTTGCTGTCGGTAATGTGGACTTGGCCCTGAGTGTCAAGATTACAACCCTGACATCGCGCCCGAAATCTGGTGTCAGGCAGCTTCGTTTTAGTTCCGCTTATCCTACTGAGGCATCACATAGTTCACTACTCCAGGTCGCTTCCAGTTCTTAAGAGACCGGTTACCGTGAATGAACAGCGGGCGCTCATCGTTGTGATTTATACTTGCTACTGTTCACACAATGGTGTCTGTGCGTAAAGAGGGATGTATGGGGAAAATTAGGAACACAATATACTATAATAAACAGCGTACTAAAAAGTGAGATTCGATTTGATGAGCGTGTCGGCTGACATTAGTAATTCAACACCAAGAGGAGAGCTGCTATCCGTGAAGTAGCATAGCTGCTCAAGTTAAAATTATGACCAAGTTCTTACCGAGAAACATGGCCTCCCCGAGCTCAACTTGGCGGTGAGTTTTGATAACATCAAATGGATGAGTCAGGACACCGGCAACCTTTTTGGCGCAAAATGAAGGGGAAAAGTAACAGTGAGGATGCTAGTGATAATCAGCTTTCCTTGATTTGATAGGTAATCAATTTCACCATGATCATCAACCTCATCTTAGAGCAAAATACCGTGAAACGAACTTCAATGATCGTTGCCAAAGTCGCAATGCACACAAATTATATATGAATATGTAGGGCAAATGGGGAACGAGCCTGTTTCGAGGAAGGGAAAAGAACGTGAACCACTGCGATCAGCAGTGATTACATAATTTAAGTGTGTACACACACCTCTTCAAGCGTTTCGACTGGCTAATAAATGACAACAAGAACGCCACCATTTGGAAGAGGAAATGGGGCACCCTTGGCGAACACCGCTGTCAACAACGAAAGACCCCCTTAGTTCGCTTCAAACCTTTACTCGATCAATAGTATGAATACAGTAACTTTAGAATGTTAGCATACTTCTAGTCTTTAATTCGCGGAGAAGGGAACCGAAAAGAGTCACACGGTCAACTGAGACAACAGCTCTTTCTACCAAGCAACACAGTGATCGTTGGTCGATGGCGTATATGACGTAACGTGGTAGTAAATGTGGAATCGATTGAGTGATTAGTCGAGCACAATCAGCACATAATAAGGTCAAGCAAAATAATGGAAGGATAAATTCGGAAGGCAAAATCATATTTCAACATGAAAAAGCTGGGGGTCGATGTGCTGCTAACTCCATCTGATCAATCACTGATGTTGGTGAATGAAACATGGACCAGCGACTGTTGGGTAATACCAACTACGCAAAGGATACACTACATTTAGGAGCATACATTATTAGAGTGTTAACTGAGCTTTAATCGTAATTCCTAATCCAGAGAAAAATACTCATTTGTTCAGTTTTGAAGTCTGTATTGTATCGGACTCCATTTCAAACGCTCCTCTGGATGGTAAACTCAACCCATTATTATTATTATTAAAAACATTGTTCTGGTGAATCATTGAAGTGATTTTTGATAGAATTCAAATTTAAGAGGTTTGTCGTTCCCATGAAATCATCAGCATCTGACATTGAAACAATGATGGACGACCGGTCTGTTTCGTACAATGATGTTTTACAGAGAGAAATATGTGATGCAAAGTAACAATGGAGCAATCGAGCAGTACGTAGAACACAATGTGTGGACCGAGGGATGAACTTACCAGTCCAGCCGATGCTCCGTACAGAAAGGCGTGATAGAAATTAAGGTCCGGCAATCTGGTAGAGTCCATATTTTTGAGTTCTGATGGTGTTAGATGGCCAATTAAGTGACGCAGTTTCAAGTTGTCAAATACGAACCAGAAAGCCATGGAATAAGGCACATCACGGAGAAGAGTAGGACCCATTCCCGT